GTGTGTGGTGTGTGTGTGTGTGTGTATGAGTTTGTGTATGAGTGTGTGTGTTTGTGTGTGTAGTGTGTGTGTGTGTGTGTGTGTGTGGTGTGTGTGTGTGTGTGTGTGTGTGTGTGTGTTGTGTGTGTGTGTGTGTGTGTGTGTGTGTGTGTGTGTGTGTGTGTGTGTGTGTGTTGTGTGGTTGTGAGTGTGTGTGTGTGTGTGGTTTGTGTATGAGTGTGTGTGTGTGTGTGTGTGTGTGTGTGTGTGTGTGTGTGTGTGTGTGTGTGTGTGTTGTGTGTGTGTGTGTGTTGTGGGTGTGTGTGTGTGTATTGGTGTGTTGTGTGTGTGTGTGTGTGTGTGTGGTGTGTGTGTGTGTGTGTTGTGTGGTGTGATTGTGACTCAACAATTTCAATATTTGCACCAATAACTCACTACAGTTGTGACCGGTGTGGAGTGTGAATTGCTCATCAACTCATAATTTGTTCATGATTGTAGCCATGTATAAACGTAGTAACCATTCTTACAGATTCATTACCTTTGTATACCTTGTGATTCATTACCTTTGTAACTTGTGAGTTTTCATTACCTTTTGTACCTAGTTCAGCTATCAAAACTTTGGGGGGCCCAGTCCCTGGACCCTTTACGTACCTCTGAAATCTGTAAATACCTTTGTAACTTGTTTTGATTGTGCCCAGACCACCTGGATTTAAATTTTACCTTTGAAAATTGTGACTTCTTACCTTTGTAAATTGTGATTTCATTACCTTGTAAATTGTGAATTCTTTCCCCTCTGTAACTTGCTCAGCTATAAAAACTTTGGGGGCCCGTCCCTGGACCCTTTATGTCCCTTTGAATCTTTTGACTCCCGGGCCCACAGGATGGGTTGGGGTGCAAAATAAAAATTTAAAACTAAAAACTAACTGCTATTCGGCACGATATATAATTTAAATATTATATTATAATATATATTTTATATATATATATTTTTAAAAATATATTTTTATATAAAATATAATATATAAATATAAAATAAAAGGGAAATTCCCAAAGACAGGCAAATAACAAAAAAACAATCTCCGACTAAAGGGAAACTCGAACCTACAAACCGGGGAACAAGGTCGCAGTCCCTTTAACCAACTACCCACACTGGACCAAACCTTGGAGTCCAGCTTGCGCAGACTTGATCCAAGGCAGCCAGCTTTCAGGGAAAGGTTTACAACTTTTCATTTATCCCCTGCATGCATCCCCTGCTTTTGCGAATTTCTTGCTTGTTAATATCCAGAAAGGCTATGCATGGGGGGAAGATGAAAAGTGTAAGTTCTCCCTGAAACTGGCTGCCTTGGATCAAATCTAGCGAAAGCGGCTTCAAGGTATTGGTCAGTGGGATGTTTGGGAAAAAGCACTGCGACCTGTTCCAAAGGGTTCGTAGGTTCGGTCTCCTTCAGCCAAAAAGATCAGTGTTTATATAAAAATAATATATAAATTATAATATAATATATATATAATATATAATATAACGTTATTCATGCAAATGTGTAAAATTTTGCGATCTTGGTTTTAAATAGCAACTCTCATCTTGCCAATAGGACAAGTGAAAAATTTGTGTATGCATAATTCCGCAAAAAATCATTCGAACCAACAAAAAAAAATATATTTCATTCTGTTTGTTTATTATTAAATTTTGTAAACGCATCAAAAATATTTTTTATTTGGGATTAGACAAAAATAAATTGAGCTTGTTATAAAAGGTTAGGTAATTTTTAAGTTTTCTTTTGGTGCAAATTATAAATTTTTACTTAACTTTTAATAAAAAAAATATATCTTTAAACGTATAAAAAAATTTTTTTAAAAAGGATTTAATTTTAAACGAGTGCTTGTAATTGACCGTTTTACTTATTGGGAAACATTAAAATATATATTTTTATATATATGTCGTGCCGAAAGGCGAATTTGGGATCTTGGGCTTAAAAAGCAACCCTTTTCTTGCCAATAGGACAAGTGAAAATTTGTGTATGCAAAAATTTTGGGCCCAAAATCGTTCGGGCCAACGAAAAAAAATATTTTGATTGTGTTTGTTTTTTAAATAAATTTTTGAAGGTATTTAAATATATTTAGTTGGGTTTTGGCCCAAGATAAAATTTCCTTTTTATAAAAGGTTGGTAATTTTCTAAGATTCTTTTGGGGCAAAATTAAAAAAAAAATTTTTCATTAAAATTAAAGAAAAAAAAATATTCTTTAAAGTATAAAAGAAAATTTTCGGAAAGGCTTTAATTTTAAAAAAAGAATTCTTGTAATTGACCATTTTACATATTCGGCACGACATATTTTATATATATATAAAATATATATATATATATATATAATATATATATTAAATTAATATATAATATATATTAAAAATATATATAATATAACTAAAGTGTGCGACACTTGTCTTTTTAGTGACAATCCACCGGGGAATAAATTTAGGGGATTAATTGATCCGCAGATTTCGAGGGGGTGGATGGGTTTTGAATGCTAGAGGATTGGACATCCAGCAGGCTTGTGTGACGGTTTTGCAAGTGTGGTTTTAGCAAGTGGTTTTTATGATTCGACTGCTTTGGAGGGAGCAAAGTAGCATTCATGAAGGGATTCTGGGAAACATTTAAAAGGACTTATCCTGGAAATGGGGGAATACAGTGCTTACTCTGAAGGAGGGGGGAAGATGTTGCAGCTCGGAGGTGCATCTGAAAGGTTTTCGGTCCTGGGAAACCCTTATCACTTCTAACACACAAAGATAAGGGAAAAACGGATATACGGCTTGAAAATGAGGTGTGGGAGACGGGGGAGTGACGTGCAAAATGAGAGTGAGGTTTTGAATGACGTCAGGAAACCCTGAGGCCACGTGATTCCCGGTTATGAAGTAAGCAGGACTGGCATACTGATACCCAACTAGGGTAACCAACCTGCCGCCAAAACAGGAACACGTGACCCCAAGTCTACCCGACGTCATCTCGAAAAAGCTTCATTTGCATTTTCATCACGTCACTACATGTCACTCAAAAATCCTTTTTAGCCCCGTATATACAACGAGCCCTAAACCAACATGGGGACACCAAAGGGCTTCCCATACGGAAACAGACAAATGACAATACTTTAAAACACCCCTGAAGGGGAGAAACTTCTTACTTGATAACCAGCAACCCTAAACCCCCACAATGTAGGGAAACCCAAGACCCGTAAACATAATATTCCTCTCCGACCAATCACACAGATATAGGGAGTGCACTACACAAATTGCCGGTTTCTTGCCAAAATATCTTCCCTTTTTGGGGGACATCAATCCCCAAAGATTGAAAGTTTTCGGGGGATTTTTAACCCACCAGGGGGGAACCCCCAAATAACCCAAGAAATAAGTGGTATGGGAACTTTTAATTTTTTCCCTTCCCAATTTTTAAAGGTACCCCACCACACAACCACCTGGATTTTCTACGAACGGAAACGGGTAAGGACCTTAATTTCCACCCCGAAAAAGTTTCGTTGGAGGGGTGATTTCCAACCGGGCGTTTAATTTCAAATGCTTTTCTTTCTACAAACAAACTTATGGTATGGGAATGGGGTCCCACATCAGCGACGTCTTAGCCAACTTGTACATGGAGCACCTGGAAACTGAACGCTTCGCCAACATCATTCCCAACAGCGTCACTTGGTTACGTTATGTGGACGACGTCCTCACAATAACTCCCAAACGGTTTGATGTACTAAATCTTCAGGGAAGGCTCAATGCCGTTGAACCGGCTATCCAGTTTACAGGAAACTACAAACAAAATCGATCTCACACACTTCTATTCTAGTCAAGATACTAAGACCAAAACAGGCATCATAACTGGATTTTTCCTAGGAACATACTGAATTTGCAATCCAGAGTTATTGACGAGGAGTGTACTTACATACACCAAACCTTCATTGATCTACATTTCCCTTCCTTTTTCATCAAAGACTGCAAGAAAAAAGCCCTTCAAATTATCAGTTCTCCATGCACTAGCACCACTCACAACTAAGTTATAATCCTGCCCTACAGCCAGGTTGCACTGAATGTCTCCAAAGTCCTCGCTCAGGCTAACACTAGAGTCACCATAGTAACCAGTAGTTCCATAAAAGCTCTGACTTAGATGAAATCGAAGAACATTGAACCAATTAACGCAGAGGGTTTATACTATCCGTTGTAGGGGTTGTGACAGAATATATGTAGGTGAAACGGCAAGAAACCTTGTAACACGTCTCAGTGAACACAATAATGTATGTAGGAATGATAACTTGAACTACGCCTGCATACAACACCCGAATTCCGCCAGTCACCTGATGAAGTTCAACGACACCTGCCTAGTGATTAAAGAACCCAATTTCCGTAGACGTAAATGCCTTGAATCATCATTAATCTCTATTTCTAACACAAACAGAATGAAGGCAGTTTCATCATCTTTGAAGTATTACAAGAATTCTCCATCACATAGCTGCTGCCACTACTACGACTAAAACTACCACGTAGTACAACTACTACTACCACCACAAGTACTACTACTATTGCTACCTATAACGATTATATTATACTCTGCACCTCACTCTGTACCTATATATACTTCTCTGTGTCTCTGTATTATTTATAACGGCTTCACAAAGCTTCTAGAGAGCGAAACGTTGCCACAATAAAATGTCGCATTAGTTGCACTTGTGTCCTTTTATCTAACATATTTTGGGTAATTCTACCAATATTATTACAGTCACTAATTCTGTCAAACAACAGTGTTAGGATGTATTAGGAATTCAAGTGGAAATTCTTGCTAAGACTGTCAAACTGATAAATTTTATTACGAAACATCGGTAAGGCTGTAAAATCTACTGTAGACCCATATTCCTTACTGCTCCAGCGCTTCTCAAGAACCGTTCAGGGACAAACCAGAAGCATCTTTGGAATAATAAAAAAAAAGTTGGCAGGGGTGACTTACATCATGAATAGTGAAAAAAAAGTTTATTCTCACCTGGCATAGTGAAGTCGAGAGAACTTCTCCCGACTTGGACATAACTTCCGGCCTCTCCGGCATACAATCGAAGTTCAAACACAGCTCTGCTACCTTCAGTGATGGTCGGGTCGTCGAAGGTCGGACACGGGTCCACGGTCGTCGCTACTATGGTGGTCTGAGGCGTGTCATCAAATTTAACGACAGTGATCTCGGCGAGTGTGACTGTCTCTGATAAACTCGGCACGTCTTCATAACATATCTGGAAGCTGCTTGTTGGCTGCTCCTTATTCATAATTACTTCGTTTATGATCACCGACTGAATGTCTTCTGGAAACAAAAGTATATAAATTAATAGACAGTAGAGCCAACTGCATTTGTTAATATATTTTTCACCTGCATAAAAAATCCTTAGACCTATATATTATATATGTATTATATGCTATATGTTACTTGAGTAATAACTAGCAGTGTTAGTGATGTTAGTTACTAGAATAATAACTAGTAGTAACAGTGATGTTAGTTACTAGAATAATAACTAGTAGTAACAGTGATGTTAGTTACTAGAATAATAACTAGTAGTAACAGTGATGTTAGTTACTAGAATAATAACTAGCAGTGTTTGTGATACTAGTTATTATAATAATAACTAGCAGCATTATTGATGCTAATTACTAGAATAATAACTAGCAGTAATAGTGATGTTAGTTACTAAAATAATAACTAGCAATATTAATGATATTAGTTACTAGAGTACTAACTAGCAGTGTTGAGGAAGTTAGATACTTCACTAATAGCTAACAACAACAATAACATTAATAATAAAAGTCTAGAAGCATCTGGTCGAGCCTAGTCAGTGTCTCACGAGAAGACTAGGCTACATCCCGCGCACTTGATCACATAATTGGGTTTGAAGCCTGTCGACTACACAAGGGTCATTAGCGTTGTTTATCACCTGTTCACTACCCGTCAAAGTATACTATAATCCCTAAACTAAATCAAAATAAACTCTCGGTGTATATACACTTACATCTGTGTATACAGGCAAGCCCCGCTTATACAGCAGGTTAGGGTGTGGGCTGCCGCTGTAAAGTGAAACAGTTGTTGTTGTTTCTCACTTTCAAATGCATATAAAAGCCTGATAACATGTTTACACTATTATATATTAAGTGAGCAATATAGTTAAGCCTAAAAAATGCATACACAGTGTACACATTACTTACCTTAACATATTTTCGTCCTTAGCTTATAATGAATGGTGAATATATTTAATGTAGGAAGTCTGAATAATTGAAGAATTGATATAACCGAAAATAGCTACATTAGTAATATGCTGCATTAGTGAAATGCTGTAAAGTGAAGTGCTGTAAAGTGAAGTGCTGTAAAGTGAAGTGCTGTAAAGTGAAGTGCTGTAAAGTGAAGTGCTGTAAAGTGAAGTGCTGTAAAGTGAAGTGCTGTAAAGTGAAGTGCTGTAAAGTGAAGTGCTGTAAAGTGGGGCCTGTCTGTATGTCAACATAATCACTGCAAGTGAGGATATATCGCCGTATGACCCCTACGCGTTTAGCTGTTCCTAATGAACGTAAAAATAATGCTAAAGGAATAAATTACCTAATTATCATTGTTCTTTTAATTTAATAGCTAAGAAAATATTCATTATGATGATTATTGGGAAGTACTAAACCCATAGGTCATGTATAGCCTGGAGAGTGGGGAGCATTGAGGTTGGATCCAAGGAACGTGAGGACAGATTCAGTTTCTTGGATCAAGAGCCCGTCACCAGCTTCAAGATATCTATCTCTCTTGAAGGGCTGACTCAGTAAACACTGGCTGACCTTTATACACCTTATCTACGCTATTTTTTTCATAGAGGTCAAAAGATCAACACAGTGGCGGCAGGGAGTCCTTTTGAAATCGAAAGATCAAACGATCAAGGTCACAAGGTCAGCGTGGACTGGCTCTTTTATGTAGGTCACCAAGTCAGCGGGGACTGACTCTTTTGTCTAGGTCACCGGGTCAGCAGGGAATGACCTTATTATCGAGGTCACAAGGTCAGCAGGGAATGACCCGATTCTTTTGGTCACCAGGTCAGTAGAAACTGACTCATTTTCTAAGTCACCAGGTCACTGGCGACTGACCATATTATCTAGGTTACCAGGTCACTGGCGACTGACCATATTATCTAGGTCACCAGGTCACTGGCGACTGTCTAGGTCGCCATTATTTCTATTTTAATCAAGGGGAAGTGCTGACCCTTAAATAGTTATATAGCACCAAGGGGATGGAAAGCATTCGGGTTCGATCCAAGGGAGGGGAGGATAAGTCCCGTTTCTCGGATCAAGAGCCTCTCACCGGCAACAAGGCACCTCCCATGATGGTTCTAGGTCACCTGGTCAACACGGACCAGATCACGTACACTGATCAAGTGTACATGTCACGCTTTTTAAGTCAGAACTTGTGGACTTTGCTTATAAAGCAATGATGGTGTTGCCAAGCAAACAGTCTACCTGGAGGGTGTTCTGGGGGTCAATACCCCCCACTGTCCAGTCCATAACCAGGGCTTCTGGTGGATCAGGGTCTGGTTAACCAGGCTGTTACTGCTGGCCACACGTAAACCGACGTATGAACCACAGCCTGGCTACACTACTTATTTCTTACAACTTGAGAAAATAAATTTGCAGATCACTAAGTTAATGCAATTAATTGATGTTAATACAAAGTAAATTTAGAGTCAGATTAATGGGTAAGATTGAAATATATTATTAACTTTTTTGCTAAGATCAGGTCAAGTTACTGAGTAAATTCTGTGTAAAATTAAATATTACGTTAAATTCATGGGACAAGCGCTAAACCCGTAGGTCATACAGAGCCTGGTGTGGAATGGGAGGCAATCAGGTTGATCCAAGAAAGGGGATGTCACATCCAAATACCTGGATCAAGAGCTCCTTATCAGACTTAAGGATACAAAATTCAAAACGTGCAAAGTACATTAATTCAAGCAAATGTTCCTTTTAATCCACACAAAAGAAATTTCCTCCCCCCCCCCCAAAAAAAAAAAAGTTTTTAAGAAAGTAGTTTGACCAGTGAGGCTACAAAACATGACCATCATTACTTGCCCAGGATATTACTGTTATTTAATAATGTGGAAAAAGATACATGTATGTCTAATTGCATTTATATTTTATTTTTGTTAATGTTACTTCATTGCAGAATATTGTTAAAGTCATGTATTACTATATTTTTGTGTTACCATAAGTTGTCTGACGTTTTATGGTATTCTTAGGACTTTTTAATAATACTTGTTAATTACAAAGTAATGTGCTTTTCGTTTCTCGGATTACTTGTCCAAACAATTCGCACTTTGTTATAAAAAATCAATGGCAAAAAAAAAAAAATATTCATTCCGACCTTCAAGTTACAGAAGAGCCCATGGATAAAATTCAGATAGAACCCTAGGCTGAGTTTTTTTATTAACACCAATACCCTAAAACTTTCAATTGCACTGATATGACTGCCATATAATACATACAAAGTAGAGCTGGTTCTCATCAATTTACTTGTTATATAATTAATACCCTAATAACAATGTCAAAATTACTATTATTTATATCGTTTATGCAGGAAATATAATTTTGTACATTTGATTATGGAGTGGAGTGAACCCATGATGGTCCATAGCGTAATTATTTTAAATTTAAGAATAATGGTAGACAGCAGTCAAGGGCAACAGTAACAAACTACACAACCTCTGCTGCTCCTTAACTTATTTATGATTATAAAAACTGATGCACTAAGAGCACTTCCCAGTGATTACATGCTAGGGTAAAGGAGCTCTATATGTTAGGGTTGGATTACATGCCTGCAGTTACTTCCCCACGAGTCAGAGGAACCATTGCTTCTATCTTGACACCAGACGCATCTGCTTTAACCACCAGTTTGTCCCCTGTCCTCCTCTGCATCATAGAAAAGATATTACAAATTACACTCCTTAAATTTGAGTAATTAAATGTTTTTTTATAGTAATATTCTACTAAATTCAGCAGAATATAGTACTAGGAACATCATAATTAATTATGGTAATAACACACACCAAACTTCTATGAAATAAACACCATCCTAAATTGTATACACATGGTTTTTACAGTTTTGACGTTACTATTTCAAGAGAAAATCTAGGTGTTACATCAATAAACTGATAACTGAGAAAGGATAAAATCAAAATGAAGGGATGAACGCATTGAAAAGAAAAATATTCGTTGAATATATATATATATATATATTATATATTATATATATATATATATATATATATATATATATATATATATATATATATATATATATATATATATATATATATATATATATATATATATATATATATATATATATATATATATATATATATATATATATATATATATATATATGTCGTGGGTTATGAAGATGATACTACTGTGCTATTACGTACGGGGGAACAGTTAGGTTTTGTTAGGGGACTTGTTGATGTATTTGGTAAGGCTACGGGGATGTGTGTTAATAGAGAAAAATCGAAGATTATGGAGTTGGGAGAGTGGGTGGGGGATGGGGTGGCTCCAGAGAGGTGGACTGTGGTTGATCGTATCACTATGTGTGGTATTCAGTATATGCGGGAGGTTGATGAGACGAGGGCATGTAATTCGGGGTGGGTGGTACAGTGTCTTGAGACGCTTAAATAGTCTACGGCCGCGACATTTAACCCTGCACCAGAGGGCGGTAGTCATTAATGTTCTGCTTTATAGCAAAGTATGGCATGTTGCTGCACTGTATCCTCTGTTGCAGGGGGATGTCAAACGTCTTTTGCATAGAGTTTATAGATTTTTGTGGGGCTCGGGTTGCGATTGGCTCACAAGAGCGGTGGTAGAGACACCAATGCATCAGGGAGGGTTAGGTCTCATTCCTTTAGACTCTAAAGGAATGAGAGAGGCTCGTGTCATAGCATGTTACGTGAAGTGTCGTTTTCTCCGACTGGGTGGGATGCATGGTGAAATGTATCACGACCTGCGCAGGTGGTGGGGAGGGAGGGATTTAATTAGGTGTGAGTCGATGCTCCGCATGTTATTGCGCATGAGGGACGTGTGGCGTGTTAAATTATGTACTTTGGAAAGGGAGGGTATGGAGAGTCGTGGTGCGAGTTGAAGGAATGTACCCAATGTACGCGTGATATGTGGAGGCGGGTTCAACAGTTGCGTCTCCTTCCTCAAGTACGGGAAGTGGTTTTTAAATTTTTGCATGGAATCTTGCCGTCCGGGGTGGTGTTGTATAATATGTGTTTGGGAGAGGACCGGGGTTGTCCGGCGTGCAGGGTGGAGAAATCTGCTTTTCACGTTGTGTATTTCTGTGAGACTTTAGATATGGTACGTGAGTGGTTCACTAGGGTTTTGCGCTTGGTGGGGGGGGATGTTTGTCGGCACTTCGAGCATTGAGTTTTGATGCAGGTGGGGTTGACATGCGTGTACAACGTGCGGTGTCGTACGTTGTGGCCGATTATATTTATGTGTCATGGGTTATGAGGCACGTTGAAGGTAATAGTAGAATTCGAGTTTTAGCGGGAACGATTTATAGGACAAAGTGTCGAAATAGGTTGGTATATGAGGGGTGTGGAAAAAAATTTCCCAATATTATGCTGTGTAAATAAACCTGATTAAAAGTGTATTTTTAAAAGAAGAGAATGGAGCCGACAGGGAGGCTCTGCACCTGTGCAGAAAGACAGTCGCCATTGTTTTTTGAATGTGTTACAAGCACGTTAATGTGAGGTGTATAATTTTCGTGCTCTAGGGGTAAAATTGGGTTGACAAAATTGTTGGATGTGCATTCCTGCATAATTTGAGTATCAGGCGACAGACGGCAGCAAATTTGGCAAATTTTTTTTAAAAATTTGTATAAAAATTTGAAAACCCAAGGGGGTTTTAAGGTTTTGTTTTAATGTACATTTTAAAATTTATTTAAAATTTTTTGCTGAAATTTGCTAAGTAAAGTGCTAGGATTTATTAAAAGGTAAGTTGATCATTTTTAAAGTTGTTCGTGTATTAATTAATTTAAAATTTTAATCATTGATCATGGCTGAAATGACAAAATTTAAATGTAGAGACAAACTATGGAATTGAGCAAAAAAGCTCATGAAGCTAGAAAGGGCCGTAACAAAGCATACAATAAATGTTTGGAATTAATAAATCAATAAACTGTGAATACTGAAGTTTTAAAAATTGTTTTTAGATGCTTTAGGGTAGATTGATTATACAAATTATATTACAAAAAAATATAAAGGAGATTTTTTTAGTAAATGTGGATGAGACGGGAAGTGACCCTTGATTAATCAGTTTAAAATTAGAAGAAAAAGATTTTCTTTTGTAAAGTAGGCCTTGAAAAAATTTAAAAAATGTGAAAAACCAGGCAGGTTATCATTTGCCCCAACAAAAAATATGTCTTTCCCAAAACTTCCAGAATTATGTTTACCTGTTTTTTAAATCCTGGAGAAAATTGGGGGGAATTTTGGTAAATTTTTAAAGCGCTGGCATGACAGGAGTGACCTAGCTGTGAACAAAATTATTTTCAAAAAGGACAGGAAAAGAGGAGATGCTCACATACTCTAAAGCCTTTCCAATGTGATGCTTTACAGGAAAGCAGTTGACTTTTTGAAAAGTCATTTGGTAATAAGAAAAAAAGTGGTTGGATCTAGTGAATTCATTGTTAATTTTAAAAATCCCCCGATTTTCACATTACAAAGGTTTTACAGCAGTTTAGATTTAAAACTGGAGCCACTTAAAAAATTTAATATTAAAATATTCTGAAGGAATCAGAGGGTTTTATTGGGCCCCATTTTTCAAAAAAAATTTAAAAAGTTTTTAAAACCCCTTGTAGGGTTTCGAATAAATATCACAAAGGTTTTTTTTGGTTTGGGGAAAAAAGACAGGTCTAAAGAATTAATTGTGCAGTTGGGGCCCAGCAAATCAACTCTTTTAAAGTGAAAACCATAATAACCTGGGGGTATCTGTCAAGTTTCACAAAGGGAAAAATTATCAAATTGTTTTAATAAAAATTTTTTCCCAAAAAAAGTTTCATAGGGGGATATCAAGTAGCAGGAAACAGAAATAAAGATTCTCCCCAAGGTAAGAAGAAAAGTACCTCCTAAGGGTGCCCAGTTAATTTAAAAAACCCGTAGAGAAAGAGAGATTTTCTTTTCTGCAAGGGTATCATTTTTCTAAGAATTGCAATGCATACAATTCAAGGGAAAGATAATTGAAAGGTTGGGGGAACTTGACGTGTATCAGGTGTTTAGGTAATCACAATGAAAGGTTGTTTGCCCCAAATTTAAAAAAGTTATCAAAGTCACAAAGGAAAACACCCTATAGCATGTGTAAGGGGCTTATGATAATGTTTATAATAAAGATAATGTTTCAATCCGACAAACGTGGCTAAGAAAATTGCTGAAGTTAAAAAAAATGGTTTTGGAAGTAGCCCTTTCCTGGTTACAGGTAAAAAATTTTAAAAAAAGGCATAAAATAAAAAAAAAGTAAAAAGCTTATTGGACCAGGGATCCGGTACTTTCATAAAAACGTAAATGTTTGATGGTATGAAGTCAGATGGGGATCCTCAATTTAAATTTTTCTGGTTTTCTCTCGATAAAAGGGCTCAAAATTTTTGACTTTTTATGTAACGTCGGTTGGGGGAATGAGAAAAAAAAATGTTAAGCATAAATTTTGAAGATTCCAGAGAAAAATTTTACAGTAGGGCTTAGTAAAGTACAGAAAGACTTTCCTTAAAGTAAATTTTAGCATTCTGGGGGAAAGGGTGATTCTGTTTGGGGCCCAATAAATATTTGATGGTAGTGCTTTATGCCCCTTTGTAAAGGGTATGGTAAGAAAAGTGGTTTTAAAACCCTTTTTTTGGCTGCAGGAGGCCCGTAATGTTTGGTAGGATTCTCGTAATAATAATTCATGACTAGAGGAAACTACAATACCAAAACTGTGTGTCTTACTCATGAATCGTACCCCAGTTTAATTTTTCCCTGAGGTGGGGTTGAGCCCGTGCATAAATTTTTGGGAATTGACAGCATTGGGAATAAAAATAAAAGAAAAAAGTCCCGGCGATTCTTTTCTCAGGAGAATACCCGGAGATGTAAAATTTGGGAATTGGGGGAAAAACTGGGTTCGACTTTTCCCTGGAGATGAAAACCCTAGAATTGCCCCCAAAATTTCAGAATGGGATAGGACGTTAAAGGTCAGTCCGCGACTGGAAGACACGAATTGTTAACCGCTATAATGATTAATTGCTGAGAGTTAATTTTAAATTTATAGAGAGTACCTCCTGGCAAGCCAAATTTTTGGTCACTTTTACCACATCCGGGTGAAGAAGGATTCTAAGATACTCCTTGGGATTGTGTTTAATTGTAGTGCCCGGAGTAAAAAAAATATACCTGTTTAAATGTGTTTTATAAAAAGGTTGGGCGTTGACAGAAAAATTTGAGTTTTTTATTAAATTTCAGAGTGAAGAAATTTTGCTTTTACGGGGTGAATAAAAAAGCTTTCAAGAGTGGGTTTACAAGAGGTGACCGGGATTGCCCGCTTTTTGGGCCCGAGATCCAGTGACCCCCTTAGCCCTCTGAAAAACCTTTCGCTTTAGGGCGTATTTTTTGGTGCTACATCCGTCCCTTCCCCTTCAAGCCCCGATAAATGACATTAAACGTATAGGAAATCCGAGTAAAGTAATGGAAACAATTTTTTTGGACAATTTCCCGGGGGTGAGTCAATGAAGGGAACTGTTTAAAGCTTTTGGAAAGGGTAATAAAATAATGCAAAGCGCAAATATGCCTCTGAGGGAAGGAATGTTTTCGTCCAAATTAAAGGGGCAAAAAAAGTAAAATTTCCCTGGAGATGAAGTGCCAAAAAGTGGAAAGTTTGGGTTTAACTTTGGG